CCTTGTCTGAATGCAGAGGCTTCTTGTGCAACTACTATAGGGTTTAGGTTTTAGGGTTTAGGGTTTAGGGTCTACACCTATAGTCTCCATTGTAGTTCCTTTTTTTGGTTTAACCAGTTATATATTAAGGATTTCATAAGGTATCCCCAAAAAGGAACTACAATGGAGACTAGAGGTAGAGGCCGTAGTAATCACCTACGCTATTTGGGGCTTCCTTACTATACTTGTAGTATAATGTACCTCAAAACCTGATTCTACTTATTAAGGCCCCGACATTACCATGAACGTCCGCGATCGCTTTAAGTGTTATCCCTCGAGGGTCTAAGAGTCTCAGTACTTCGATGAGTTTCCTTCTTTTAGGGTTTAGGGTTTAGGGTTTAGGGTTTAGGGTTTAGGGTTTAGGGTTGATGCTACGTAGGGTTTAGGGTTTAGGTCTTAGGGTTGTAACCCGAAACCGGGAGGAAGCTTTGAGGGCACTTGCAATCACGTTGCTCAGGCTTTCGCTGCTTTTGAAGCGTTCGGGAGAGCCCTAAACCCTAAACCCTAAACCCTAAACCGAGGCTTGGAGACTGGCATGTCCCTCGATTAAAGTTTCCACTGAACTATAATATCAGGCCGCAAATAGTCTAAGGAACTTTGGAATGCTTTGTGTCGGAGTAACTCCCATTGGAAGCGTCCTGACAAAGCTGTCTACCTGCTGCGTCCTGCAAGCCCCATTCGCAGTCAAGTTGCAGAGTTTCGAGTGTAATATAAAGGCCTGAATAATGAGAAAAGGGTTTTGGGGCCCATTATTCTACAGTTATACTAAGGAACCCCCAAAATATTTCTGGCAACTAATTAAGGCTCCTATATTCGCAGTGCCATTCTCACTGAAAGCTCAACCGCCAAGGATTGTTAACACACAAAGCGGGCGCAATAGAGCCTTGAAAGCTTGCTCGCGAAAGCATCCTTGACCCGAACTGCAAAGCCCGAAACTGCGACGCAAACTTTGTGGGTTGAGCTGCAAAGCATGAAGGCCACGCCATGCCGCCAGTGTCCAAAGGGAATCTGGCAGATTCGCAACCGTGTCGGCTTCCATCAAGGTTTCTTGTGTGAAGGTGTAGGGTCACTACGGAGATTCGGCCTAAAGCCTTTGCCTTTGCCTAGAACACGGCACTCCGCAAGCATCGCGGGGTTCTCCAGGACCCTCCTAAAGCCCTCCACGCCCTCACTCCAGCAAAAGAGCAGAGGAACATGCGCAGGCATACACACAAACGGAGAAGCTCGAAACCAGTGTTTTAAGACTATCATGTAGAGACCTTCATAATTAGAATGAGGTTTTGGGGGTTCCTTACTACAATTATAGTATAATATAACCCCCTATTCTAATTATGAAGGCCCCTACATTGTGCCTTAAGCCCTTAACCCAACAAAACCCTAGCTTTATGTTTTCCTTGCGATGCTTTACCACTGGGACTCTTCTTTTGTGGATGCCTGCAAAACCTCGAATACCACAAGATCCTAGACCGTTGCAGCCCTGACGCCTTAACCTGAAACATCAAATACAATCGAAATCTTCGAAAAAGTGTGAACCTGTAGCTCGCGAAGACAATGAACCCCGAACCCTAAAGCCCTAAACCCTTGAACCCTATAAACCCTAAACCCTAAGCCCTAAACCCGGAAC